AAAATATAACCTGGTCAGCGGCTTGGTCAGACAGAACTAATTTATGATAAACATCATGTTAGAACGATATTAGGTCTCTCGATCGAACGAAAAATATTTGTAGATAGTAAACAAAGTGTGTTGATAAAATAAAGATATTTTATACTATATACAGTGTGAATTCTACACTCGATTTTCCGCTTATTGTGTCTTAGTTACCTTAATTAAAAAAATTCAATCTTAAATACATAAACCACAAGCTATCTGATTGATCTAAATTTAATAAAACTTGGGCTGAGTAAAGAAAAATTCGAGTAGGCATTGAATTATTGATATTTTAGGGTTTTTTGTGCCAAAACTTTGTTTTCACCATTCATGGAGTGTAAAATATATCTTCTATCATAATCGCGAGTCGTTCTAGTGCTTTTAAACTATAATTGAAGTTGTTTGAGGAATTAGTAAAAAAAAATGATCATTCAAAGATCGTGATATGAGCATTTCTTGGCTCACTTGTCTTAGCTAATAAGCGAAATCACACATTGGGTTATTTTTATCAAAAAGACGGGTATTTGGACTTTTTACCTGCCAGTTTCGCGTAACATAGGCCTTGATAGGACGATTTAATTTGGTTTTGTTTGGTCCCTCTTTGTGAGACTCACTTGTTGTGAATCCCATGGTCTAGAATATTTTCAATGAGGAAACATTTTTGAATGTGGAATAACCGTTAAAATCGAATCGTTACATGTTCAAATTGGTTTTAATATATGAAGCAAATACTGTATGCAACATGACTTATAGAGATATAGCTTACGATACTTTTTATAAAGAGTTTTAGAACGTTTAAGCACTGCAGAGTTCGTAAGACTCGTGGCAGCCATATTGATTCGATTTTTAGTTATTGAAAAAGAGGTCAAAAAGAAAGAGAGGTCACTGCTGTCCAATAACTATCAATACAACATTTCTCCTTTCACACCAATAACTAAGAAATGTTGGGACCTCTTCTAACATGTCAACACCACCACAACAATATGGCCGCCATTGGTTTTATTTATGCACAGCAGATGCACTATATGCAGCCCTAGCTTTTAGATCAGTGTTTTTCCCGTCTGAAACAACTTCTCAGGTTAGTTTATGCGCACACAAACCACATATTGTATCTTATATGAAGTACTCCTTAAGGTCAGGTCGTTCTTTCCAATCACACGACCTGACAATTCTGTGAACTTCAACTGGAATGTTGGGGAAGAGGTTGAGGAAGTATTCTTGGGGATTACCCACTACATAGAATGCTTCGGGTTGAGGCATTGGACGTGGTCGGTCATGCCAGTGTTGGTTGACATTTCGGATAAGTCGTAAACACTCCGTCCACGACGACTTATAAGAAAATGTTTTTGGTTTCCCGTTCATGAAATCAGTACATAAATACTTCAGAACATCAGGTCTCATCCTAGTTTTCCAATCTGTGGGGTCATTATTCAATTCTCGTACGACAGCTGAGTTGTTGTCGCCTGCTTTAATCTCTTGTTGGTTTCCCATTTTGCAAAGCATTTCAAACTTCTGTCTCCTGGATTGAAAGTAAGGGTGTTTCAGCGCTTCTTCAGCCAACGGTCTATCTTTCGGGTTGTGGCTCAGCATCCAGGATAATAAATCTTTCAAGATAGGATCTTTCAGCGTGTCCAAGCCAACTGGTTTACCATCAAGTAAGTTGCCAAGTCGGTATCGTCCTTCTCCAAAGGGATGTTCACCTTTTGTGAAAATGTAGAATGCCACCATTCCGGCTACCTAAATGTGACAAAAGCAAACTGTACTACTGAATTATTCTTATATGTACGAAAAAATGTTTTCTTTGAAAATTGTGACACAGCACAGAACAACGCAAAATTTGTATTGCCGAAAAGTTGATCCGACACTTCTTAATGACAGAGTTTTAAAAACTATTACATTACTGATGTCAGTATTTTCAAACGCTGTGGTTTAAAAATACTTCGTTGAGGAAAATGTTTTCTTTATTTCAGCTTCAGAAAGAATAAAATAAATAAATAATTTTGGTTAAACATCAGCTTTACTAGGGAATTTGGTTGCGATGTTTGTGTGCAGGATTGTGCTGAACTTGCACACTCCTAGTCGAATTCAATATGGCAGATTTATAAGTACATTCATTGCCAATATAAATGGAAACATAGTTTGTGATCAGCTACGCAGCTATATTTATTAATTTTCTATGAGTAAGCCCCGTACCACTCGTTGAAGTTCTGCAACCTTCTTTTGAAAGCAATGTAAAATCTATACTTATTTACTCTAACTCGTGTTTAACACAAACAAAACCCTACCTGAATATCGGATTCTTTCTTATAACGTACTTTGCTATTGTCAGTCATGCAATTCGAATGATATGAAGATTCAACTGCTCTCCAATCATCCGTTCCCCTCTGATCACTTGGATGGGTAGTGGCACCTGCCGTTAAGATTCGACTGATTCCAAAGTCTGCCAGCAACCAATTACCGTCGACATCTCGCAGGATATTGGATGGTTTCAAATCACGATGCAAAACTGGCTTTGGATGGCGATGGAGATCAGCCAATCCTTTCAAAACTTGCCGAATGATATCTGGCGCAGTTGTTACTAGATCCTCCAAACTGTTACCAGCAACAAAACTTGCCAACGTTTCCTCACATAAATCCATGATTAAAAATAAGTAGTCCTTATCGCTTTGTTCGTCTAAAAACCAATAATTTACAACATAGTTTGACTTAGTTGCATTGAGTTCGTTCAAAACCCTCTTTTCGTGTTCAGCTACGCCAGTGCAAGCATCTCTAGGCAAACGCTTTACAGCCCTTTCGTATCCATCTTTCCCTAAACCTACATAGACTCGAGTGCCATCATTTCCCTTCCCAATGAGAAACTCCTTCGAGCAACAAACGCGTACTCCGTTAACGTTCTTGACCTCTTTCGGATAGTCTTTTCCATATTGGAGCAGCTTAATGAACTTCTCTCGATGAACATTCGAACTCTCTTCCCATTTCCACGATTCTGGGCTCTCTACAAGAGACAAAAAGAGACAAAGGCTTTACATAAAACGGTTTGGAGACAGCCCTATTATAGAAAATACACGAAGAACAGAAATGCACGAAGAACGTGTATGCACACTAGAGAGATAGATCGGTGGTTAAGGGTCTTTCAATTTTTTCGAAGGCAAATTTTTCTGATTACCAGACTTCAAAGCAACCTCGTTTCCGAACGAGGTGGACTTTAAAGTGAAAAAAGATTGTTTTAGTCAACCACCTTACTCCCAATCGAAAGGTTAGATAAGCGATTTATGGTAATATGGGGAGGAGGGAAGGTTTGAAATGTTCCATATGAACGGCTGGCAAAGCAATACAAATTTTAATTGGTGTATTTAAGTCCACGCCGAACCATTACAACTTCGTCTTTTTTATAAATTAAAATAAATTTAATCACGCATGAAATCATAATGATGCATAAATTTTCCATACCGAAAAAAAATTCCAAGCTTTATAGTTACAACCTCGTAGCCAGAGTTTGAGAATCCTAATTGACACTTTACAAATTAGCACATATAACGTACAAAGTTTATATTGAAAGAAGAATTACGAACATACTAATGTTGTAACTATAATACTAAAGGTACTATGATCTGGATGCAAGTTAAAATTTTCTGAATAATTATGATTTTCGCGTTTAACAATATTCACAATTGTTTTGATGTTTTGATGATATTCGGCACCATTTATATTTACGACAAGGTAAGGTCAGGGAATTTGCCACAGGTTTTCCCAATTACTACACGGCGACGCAATTTTCCGTTTCGTAAACCGCCAGGGTCACCAGTAACAACCAGTGTCACCACTGTCGGTGTGCGTCACATCCGGTGAATATGAAATGAGATATTCACCACGCGAAACACGCGTTATAAATGCGTCCCAACGTGTTCAACACAACGCGGCAGCGGATCGGAACAAAATAAGATCCGCGCATGCGTCATCAGTAGAAATTTTTGGTTCCGATTAATCCGGCGACGTTGCTGACCGGATAATAAAAAGTTTCAACTTTTTTTAAAGGGGGGCGAATTTCCTAAAGGGAGGCGAAATTCCTAGGATTTTCGCCCCCCTGGGTATAATATTCTCTTTGAACATCAAATATACAAGCTAGTTTTGTTCTCGAGTCTCCATGTTCTCCCGCCTATATCCGTCCACCTGTCACGTGTCCCCCACGTGATAACATAGGATATTACATCCCTCCCTTACTGGGATTTAGAGACGTGCTAAAGTCACACTAAACATAACTAGTAAAAGAACCCAAATTTAAAGTCAAATGTCAACTAAGTGTTTGCCATATAAGGTTCACTCAATGTGATTCGTAAAGTACATGCATGCATGTCTTAATACAGTCTGTCAGACACGGTGACAAGTACTGGGAGCTTATTAGTCCGACAATAAGTTCCTTATTCAGCGCTATGCATAGTCTGCTGGATGTCTTGGTGGCGCTCAAACGCGTTGAGGATAACGGTGAGGTTCTTGTTGCTGTTCCTCAGCCTGTGCAGTGTTGTCTGGTTCACCGTCCGTGTCTTCGAGGTTATCATGTTCTCCATCGGTTGAGTCGCCTTCCGTTGGTTCATCTTGTTGTCTGACGAGCTTGAAGAACGATGAGTTTCTGGTCACTGTCTTTTCTCCTTGCGTGGCGGTTACCATCGAGCCTTTGCAGCTGATTACTTTGTATGGCTTTGGTTCATACGGGGTTTCGGACTTTCGATGTGAGGGATCACGCTTTAGGACCACGGTATCGCCAGGTCGTACTCTTGATGGCTTGACATATGCTTTCGAGTCAGCATATTTCTTCATCTTTCTTTTGGCTTTCTGGTCCGTCTCTTGGATCTCGGCTGGGTCCCGTGCATTGGTGTGTACATCGGGTAGCTTCGTTCGGAGTTGGCGATTGAAGAAGGCTGTTGCTGGGGCCTTTCCAGTTGAGCTGTGTGGTGTAGCTCTGAAGTTCCGAAGGAAGTTGGTTAGTTCTTCTCGCCATGGTTTCTGCTGTGTAAGTGCAATCTTCACGATCTTCTTTACCGTCCTCATGAACCGCTCTACTTCGCCGTTGGCTCTTGGCCAATAGGGAGTGATCTTTCTGTGGGTAAATCCCAGGTTAGCGGCGAAAGTTGCAAAGGCTTCGGAGTTGAACGGCGGACCGTTATCGGATTTCAGAATTCCTGGAATGCCAAATTGTGAAAAGATGTGTTGGAGTTTAGGAATTACAGCTTGGGCTGCCACTGAACGAATAACTTCAACGATTGGATAGCGTGAGTAGTCGTCAGATACTACCAAGAGGTAGTCCCCTGTTGAGAGTTCAGCAAAGTCAACGCTTATCTCGTCCCACGCTTGATCGGGCAGAGTAGACATTTGTAACGGCTCACGTGCTGCCTCCGGGGTTGCAACTTGGCATGCGAGACAGGATTTTACTCGTTCTTCGACCATTTTGTTGATTCCGGGGAACCACACCTTCTCTCGTAGTAGGGATTTGGTTTTGGTAATGCCTTGGTGACCTTCGTGAGCCAAGTCCACGACGCGACGTTGTAGCTTGTTTGGAATCACTAATTTCGTTCCACGAATGACTACTTGGGTTGTTGTTCCAACGGTTAACTCATCTTTGAGGCGTTCGTATGTGTGAAATGTGTCAGTGTCGACCTTTGGATGCTTGGCTAGTTCATGCCACTTGCCTGATTGAACGGCGTCTATGACGGCACGGAGGGTTGGGTCACGTCCTGTGGCCTCTGCAATCATGCTGAGGGTGAGGGCAGTTGGTGTTGAAGTTGTGGCAATGTAATTTATGTACTCTTCAGCAACTTTTTCCTGTCTGCTGCAGGGTTCGGTGTGACTGGAAGGGTGCCTAGACATATAGTCTGCAGGATTTTCTTCTCCTTTTCGGTAATACACGGTGGTCTGGTATGGTTGAAGTCTGAGTGCCCATCTTTCGATGCGAGCAGGTGGTTTCGAGTTCGTGTTGCCATAGATAGCAACGAGGGGCTTGTGGTCTGTGTAGACATTGACTGGCTTGCCGTAAATGTAGAGGTGAAAGTGTTCACATGCCCATACTACAGCGAGGGCTTCGCGCTCAGTCTGGCTGTAGCGTTGCTCGGTGGTGGTCAGAGACCGGCTGGCATATGCAATGATACGCTTGACTTTGGTTGTGGGATCGATTTGCGTTAAGATGGCGCCCAGCCCAACCGGGCTTGCATCAACAGAGATTTCAGTTGTTTTCTCAGGGTTGAAGTACGCTGTGACAGGTGCATTGGCCAACACATGCCGGAGCTGGGCCAGGGCATGTTCCTGCTTGTCCATCCACTCCCAGGCATGGCTCTTGTGGGTAAGGGCTCGCAGAGGTTCAGTAATTGTGGCATATCCCTCGACGAATCGTGCACAGTAGTTGGTCATGCCTAGCAGGCTACGGACTTCTGTGACTGACGTTGGAGCTTTGAGGTTTAGAATATCTTGAACTTTCTTTGGATCGGGGGCCATGCCATCCGCACCAAAAACGTACCCGAAGAACTCAAGGCTGTTTTTGCTGTACTCGCACTTGAGTTTGTTCAAGGTCAGCCCGCGTTCTCGAAGCCGCTGAAACACTGCTGCGAGTGCTTGATCATGCTCCTTCTGGGTCTTGCCAAAAACGAGTATGTCGTCGCTGATGTTAATTGCGCCCGGGATGCCGTCAAGACTCTCGCGGATGGCGTTCTGAAAGATTTCGGCGGCACTAGATATTCCAAAGTTGAGTCGCTTGTAGCGCATGAGCCCAAGGTGGGTGCTGAAGGTGGTAATGTACCTGGATTCCGGGGCTAGTTCTAGTTGGTTGTAACCCTGGTTGAGGTCGAGTTTGCTAAAGACAGTTGCACCATTCAAATCGCCGATGATTTCCTTGATCGTTGGGGTGATGTGGCGTTCACGCTGGACTGCTGTGTTTGCACGACGCATGTCAACGCATACACGGACCTTTCCGGGTGACTTGGGCTTTGGTGCCACAACAATGGGTGATACCCAGGGGGTTGGGCCCTCCACGCGTTCGATTACACCCAGTTTTTCGTCCTGACTTAGCTGTTCCTCAAGTTGTTTGCGCAAATGGAACGGCACGCGTCGGTGTGGTTGGGCAACTGGTGGTACACCTTCGTCAATATGAAGCTGAACTTGGTAATCTTTCAACTTGCCGAGTCCTTGGAACAAGTCCTGGTATTGGGTGGTGAGCTGTTCAACGGTGGGAAGGTTTTGATGTGTAATGGGCTTTATGACTTTGAGTAGCTGCAGGTCGGTAGAAGTGCGCCAGCTAAGCAATGACCCACTGGTTCCTTTCACAACATAGAATGTCTCTGTACGGTTGACTGTTTCCGATGCGACGGTGGAGGTAAATTGCCCAAGGACGGGTAGGGGTGTCTCGGTCTGGTAAGGATAGACTTTGATGCGTGTTTGCTCCAAACTCGGTCGTGGGGAGAGCTTGTTGTAATCTTGCTCATCCAGAATATTGATACTGGAACCAGAGTCTGCCATTATGGTCAGCAGTGTTCCCTCGATGGTGACGTCAAATAATGGGTGTTTGTTGCGATCCGAAGTCATGTTGTAGACGTTGATTCGGAACACGCCAACTTCGTCGCTGTCATCGCTGTAGTCAGTTTCTGCGGTGTTGTCCATCGCTCGGACGTCCTGTCGTTCGGCTGTTTGCGGGTAGCGTCGCTGACGTGGTTTGGTGGGGTTTGAACGTTGTCTGTCTTGGAGACATACGGACTGTAAGTGGTTAAGTTTTCCACAGGAGCGACATTCCTTTCCGTATGCTGGGCAAGCAGTTTTTCCGCCTTCATGCGGGTATGTGCCTCCACAATTACGACATTTCACCCTGGTACCGGGGCTCCGGGATTGGAAGCGTGCTTTGTTGTGGTTTTTGCTACTTCCGGTTGTGAAATGGCTGACGTTCTCTGTTCGTTCTAAGTTCGCTGCTTGCGAGTCGGCTAGCTCCGCCGCTTTACCCATTTCTAGAAGTTTTGCCAGGGTTATAGTTGGATCGATTAAAGCTTTTCGTCGAAGTCGTTGCGAGCGGCCGTGTTGGATGATCTGAGATTTGATTTCGCGATCGGCATCGTGAAATTCACAGGTGAGGGAAAGTTGTTTGAGTCGTGTATAGTACGTCATAAGAGCTTCGTCGTTGTTTTGTTTGGCGTTGCAAAATTTATATTCTTCGAATACAGGGTTTTTCTTTGGTGTAAAGTATTCAGATAGTGCTTTGATTGTGACGTCTAGAACTGTTTCTCCTTCAGCCGGTTCACTGACTGTGAGTGTTTCAAAGATATCATTGACTTCTTCACCGATGTAGTGTAATAGGAGCGCCTTTTGACGTTTGGGATCATCGATGTCTGTAGCAACTATCAAATTTCGAAAACGAGCGATGTATTTCTTAAATCTGACGCCGGGTGCTCCCTGGTCCGCGTTGGGATCGAAGGAAGGGAATGTTGGCAGAGCTGTTGCCATGTTTTGTTGTGTTTTAGGCTGTTTTTAGCCGTTAAATCGAGAGTTTTAAAGCGTTTTGTTTGCTTGCTTTCCCGTCACGAGTAGACGCCTAGCGTACGTTTTTCGCTATCAAACGGCTTGGTGTTTCTGAATATGAACACAAGAGTGTACTGATCTTTCTTACTTGAGTAAGATCTTGCGCTGGGTTGTTTTGTTGTTTGTGTTAATAGATCCTCGTCGCCAATATAATATTCTCTTTGAACATCAAATATACAAGCTAGTTTTGTTCTCGAGTCTCCATGTTCTCCCGCCTATATCCGTCCACCTGTCACGTGTCCCCCACGTGATAACATAGGATATTACACTGGGGGGGGGGCGATATTCCTAGGAATTTAGCCCCCCGGGGGGCGAAAATGTAGGGGGGCGAAAATCCTGGGACACCGGTCCCGCAAATTAAACCTGGCGACAAATCAAAATGCCGTATTATCTTACAAAAATTGAAATAATCAAATAATACCTGCATAAAATTTTAAAAATGGGGGATAATTCAGAAGCTTTCTTGGAGAACTCTAGGGAGAATTTACAGGAATTGGAGAGTACAACAGCTCTTCAAATTTGCTTGGCAGCATACAAATTTGTTTAAAAAATATTCATGGTGATATTTATAGCTTTAGCTCTTGTATCAATAAGTGGTTTTCACTTTTCCACTGCTGTCTATTCTGAAACATTTTTCTTATCCACATGCCTGTATTTTTCTTGTGTTCTTTTGCTTCCCTGGCGACGACGCAACAAAATAAGATGAAGGACATACCTGTTCATAGCTTATTTGTAATAAGCGCGAAATAGTTATTTGTGAAACTGGAACGAGCTTTTCCTATCCGATCATTCCACTTGTCCTTTTACTGGAAATCGATTGTTGGACCGGACCGGATCCGAAAAAACTTCCGATCCGCTGCTTATGTTTAGCCTTTGGGCAATACTTGAGGCGGTCAAGTCCGTTCAGCGGATGTGCAGTTTGAAGACACTATATTCATAAATTATGATGCACTTAGTTAAAATCTAACATCGTTCTGGTTTGCTGTACTTTTAAATGAATATAGGTTAGAGTTTCAATTTAGAAGATGTCGAAACAACGCGAAATTTGGGTATTGTTTACACCAGGGATCCTCACATAGCACATGCGCTGAACAGTCATATCGTGATTATCGTCTAGAACTTAAAAAAGCTTTAAAAAGCTGCATGGGCGTACCGGGCGGGGGGGTGGAGTGGCAGGAGGGGGGGGGGGG